AAGTCGGAATTCTGCTCGTATTTCTCAATTTTCTCCAACAGAACTCAACTTCTATGCAATAAAAATACCATATTCAGAATCAGAATCAAAAGTCGAGCCGACAGTTATGTATCTCTGTCCTATCTGAGTACTTTTAATTTTTTCACATTTTCACGCTGAAAAATCATTGATATTTTCACCCAAACCCTGAAAATCAAGTAAAAATTCCAAAATACATATCAGTCGATTCAACTTTTGATTCTAATTCCGAATATGGTATTTTTATGCCAAAGAAGTTGAGTTCTGTTGGAGAAAATTGAGAAATACGAGCAGAATTCCGACTTTTTCGCCTCTAATTTAGAAAAAAACCCATAGAAACCAGAATCGCATGATATAGAAGCATTGTCAAAACATACATTTGTTTAATTTTTAGTCCTCTATCAAATGGCGTTTGAACCAAGTTTCCATCTCTTTTCTGAGCTGAGTCATTTCAATTTTAAGAAAAGTTGAATTTTTGAAATTTTAAATTAAAGTCAAAAATTGAAAGTTTGACTTGGAAACATGCTTTTTTCTTCAAAATATTCTTCTTTCAACACTGAATCCAAATATCATCTTCAAAATGTTCCATCTCTTAACGGTGATTTTTAAAAGTCATTTCATTCAACATCTATATGCCAAAACCACGGTTTTCGGGAAGTCCTGCTTCCAAAGGTTTTCGAGAGAACTTTCTACAGAAAAAAAGAAAGAAGACATCCTGAAATCTTTAATCCCTGAGTTTCACTGAATTTGGTCCGGTTGTTCCATAGATAGTTTCTCATGCAAGACGCCTATTGCGCTTTTACTCATTGTAGGTTTTTTTTCTTCACTGGAATTTAGTTGTAAATGTACCCATGTAATCCAAATAAATACTTCACAACAAATTCCAGGTTCCAAACATCGTGAGATCAACATTCGTGCACAAATCGGCAAGTATAAGTAGAAAGAATTATTGTCTTGTAAATAAAAAAAATTTAAACAAAAATACAATTGCATTATAATTATTTGCCAAAAAAGATTTTACGAGACATTTGTTTTGAAGGTGTACACATAGCTGGTGTTGATCGAGGTGGTTTGTATAAATTGTTTGGAATAATGAATATACCACCACCGGTTGATGAAGATCATTATACACATTTAGATAAATATATATTACCATTTGTTACTCAATGTGAAAATGAATCAATGAAAAATGCTGTGAAAAGTGGTGATACAACTGATTTAACTGTTAGTGGCGATGGATCTTGGCAAAAGCGTAGCTTTTCTAGTGTTCATGGTGTTTCCACCATTATTTCATCAAACACACCAGCCAAAATAATTGATACTATTTGTTATCCCAAAAAATGCTCAATATGTCAAGGTGCCCTTAGCATAAATCATTCTGATAAAGAAAAATATAAACATATTATCAAAAACCATGTATGTGAAGCAAATTTCATTGGTTCNGACATGTGATCAATGGTGCAAACATAAAAAAAGTGATCTGACTTTACTAGAACTACTAAATGTTTTTTTCTAAATCAGAACAATTTCGAATAACTGTATGATACTTTTTTCGGGAAGTACGGAAGTGGATGGTATACATGAATTATTTAAAAGATCACAATTAATATATTCAGTAAGATATACGCAAAACGTATGCATAAAAAAATATGTAATTCAAGCTGATTTTTATTCGAATTTATTTTGATAAAAAAGAATAAAGACTTTTAAATTGATATTTGTTTTAGATACATCGGTGATGGTGATTCTAAGATAATGCCACGATTACGCGAAGTACCACAATATGATAACGTTGAAATTCAAAAAATCGAAGATATAAATCATTGGTCAAAGAAAATGTTGAATAGATTAGAAAAAATAAAAAATGAATTAAAAGACACAATTATTGATGGAAAAAAAGGAACTGGTGGCAGAGGAAGAATGACAAAGGGTAAGAAAAACTAGTCAAAACATAATGGATACGTTTTCCAACATCCTTTTCCGTATCTGTCTTTGATGTCCGAACAAATGATAAAATTAAAATGGTATTTTGCAAAAGCAATTAGTGAGAATAAAACAAATTTAGAAATGATGGTCAAAAGAACATGGGGAATATATAAACATAAAGTAACGACAGAAAAGTGCTTAAAAAAAGGTGTGCGAATAGCCGATTTTATTATCTGTAGGCCTCAACAAACGAAGAACCATATCATGAGTGGTATGATCCAAAATGTTGTGGTTACTGGAAAAGTTTACAATTAGGTAAAAATGGCTAAATGCGAATCAAGGAACATTTCATGACTTCATTTTAGTAAACCTGGAAACCTGTTTCTTTCTTCTAC